ATGCACAGTTAGAAAAAAGTTGTGCAGCTCAGTTTTTAAAATCACATTAATCTACTTTGCCCATCTGGCTGTGAAAAATGAAAGGTAGGTTATGAAATTAATAACAGACTTCAGTTTTAATGATGAACAGGAAATTCTGCGTAGCTGAGTTTTACAGACACGTAATATTTTGGTTACTTTTTGTAGTGTCTTTTGAAGGTCTTGACAAGAGAAAAAAATCCATTCTTCCTATGGGTCTCCTATGTAAAATAATAACACTAAATAAAGTGGATCTGATCTGTAAGAAGATTAAATGTTTACATACTGACTTTTGAACTTTTTAATCTTGTATTGAGCACATATATGTACTATAAGAACTAAGTGTCAACTGTGGATATTTTTTTCCTTGAATGAGCTTTCTTTCTTATATTGTTTTCTAAGACTACACTTCATTTCGTTTTATTTTCTTTCCATTGCTGTTTCTAATGGTCCTCTTTTAAATAGACTAAACAGAGTTTTATCTGCCAAAACCAGCTGACATCCTGAAGGAGATTTTGCAAAGATCTACTTAAAAATCTGTGGATTGAGTGTTTGACTCTGTAACTCTGTCAGTTTATGTGGACCTGGGGATCAAAGGCCCAAGACCTGAATCCAGATTTGGATTCTTCCTGGGACCCTCTTTTTGCCTTGTTGTATCATTATAAAYGCCAGCCTTTGGTATCTTCAGTATCTTTGTTTACTTTGTGCCAATCCTAAGGTAATACATCACTCTACAAGAAGGAAGAGGCATTATAAAAATGCTGTTTAAAGCATTTAMATCTTTTCATGAAAACAGAAAATCTGTAATTTTTTTACAGAGCATCTATACATGTAATTTTTCTTTTATACGTAATAAAGTATTTATACAGAATTTACAAGTACTGGTTCTGATTTTATTGTTATTTATAATTGCATTTTTCTTTAATGTTGTAAAGGTTTTTTCCTTTTTTGKAAAGGACTGGAAGATTCAGTATTATATAAGAAATTTCTAGTTCAGCTAGAAAAGATGGGGCTTGGTACAATCCTATAAGGTACATAGTGACCTGCCTGAAAAAGAGATAATAAAGTGTTGTATTAAAGGAGGACAGTCATTTTGAAAAACAATTCCTAGCAAAGTTACTCAAGAAATAGCCTAGAACCAATGTTAATGTATATTTTGATTAATGGTAATTRCTTAATATATAAAAGAACATTAATGATAAGGAAATGGAAGATTTGAACTATAGAAACAACACATCTAGAATATGAGTAGTGGAAATGGGATGGAGTTACAGCCGAAGACATGTTTGTAAGGAATAAAAATAATTTCTCTGAGGAGCTCATCAGTTGAAAATGTTGTGAGGAGGAAGCCCTGCATACCCACAGACAACTATAAACTGCAGGTGTGCAGCAGTAATGAAAAACACAGTTTTAAACCTGGAATGTATCAGATAGAGSATTTCTGGTAGAGACTGGGATAAAAATAGGTGAGTCTGCCTCTAAAGTACAGTTTGGTTGTGTGTTCAAGAAAGACKGAGTCCAATTTGAACAGGTAAAGGGACTGTTAAGATTTTTCTTGGAATCAATACAAGCAAGTATTACTAGTTTACTTGTTTAAGTATACAGGTGTTTCAAAAATCACAGCCTGCTAGCAGCTGAAGTGGGTGCCAGCAGTTACAGAATTTGAAAAGATAACACCCCAAACCAAAGGCATCAAATTCAGAAACTGGTAGRCTACCTGGTGTTTTTAATGCCTTGCTCAGTGTATACTATGGAATGTAAAAAGGAAAATACCTGCTTAGTTAGCAAATGAGGAAGAAAAAGTAATGCAATTAAATTTTTAGGAGYATAGAATTATTCTTCATTTTGGGTTTTTTTTCCTAATGATAATTCATACATTCAGAACCAGAATTGCTGTATTCAGATAGTCTATTCTCTTGTTTTTCCTTATTCTGCTGTAGGTACTTAGGCCAGGAGGCCTCTGAGGCCACTGGRAAGCAGTCACAGCTGCAGCCAAACTGTTGGCCAGTGGTGAATAAAAGGAAGAGCTGCGTAAGTACCCTTGTAGGGATGGCTTCTGGAGACACAGCTGGCCTGGCAGCATCAGGGAAGGCAGCTCGGAGGGTGGTAGGTGAGTTGTGTACTTGTGTTTAGGATTGAGGAGTAGGAGAGTAAGGCAGGATTTGGGCTTTGCTACCATGCCAGGCAGAGCTATGAAAGGTTCATGTTGTAGGTGATATCAAATGTACCCATTACTCCGAATGGATTTAACAAACCCTTAAATTCCCAGGGATCCAGAGCAACTTGGGTTTGCACTAGAGAGTTCCCCTGGAGGCTGATCAGGGATTTTCACCACCTGAAGCATCAACAGAGGATTTTCAGAGTCCTGTGAAAAGTGAATGCTAAGGTGATACAGAGTGCTCCCAAATTACAATCATAGCACTGCACAGAASAGGTAAACCAAATCAAGCAGTGTGGAAAGACATTCCAGCTGTTTTTGTATATGGTTGGATAGAACTGTTGTTAGATACAGGACCTAGTAGTTCCTGTGAAAAGAAAGAGGGTATTAAAAACAGGAAGGAAAGAAGGTAAAAAGAGATTTTCTACCTGCCGTGGTTAACACATCAGTACATTCCTGCATCTTTTTTTCTTCCAGGGGGTAGCCCCTATAAAAAAATAGGAGTACATATACCCAGAGATTGCAGGTGTTTGATTGTTGCCCATGACTTATGCATTTCCATTCTAACTTAAAAAAAAAAACAAATGTGGGTGTCATGTGGCTCTTTTAATTCTTTCATCTGAGAAATAGTCTCCAATAGTCTCCAAAGTATAATTTTCCTCCAGGTTTTTGGATTTTGGGTTTTTTTTTTTTTTTTTTTTTTTTTGTCAGTAACTGGGACATACCGCTGCAGATTTAGTACCACTAGATGGTGCTGCTTTGTAGTATTCTTTAGGACAAGTCAGATTATTGATGTAAGAAAAAAAAAAGATCCAATAGCTCGAAGCAGTGTATTCACTAAGACTTTCCAAAGACCTAGGACACGGGAATTTTCTAATGCTTGATTGAAGACTCTCAGCTCCTTGATGTTCCTGTATGTGTGCTTGTGTATTGGTGTGCTCAGTTTGTATCCGTCTTCTGAATATATACATATATCTTTAAGTACTTTATATAACATATAGACAACATTCAGCCTTTGCAGTCCCATATGCCTCGGCCTGGGGTCCCTCTTTAACAGAATCTGTTAATCATTAATGTTCAACAATATACCTAGTATCATGCCAAATAAAGACAATTTCTATCTGCAAAGATTACAGCCTAGGTGAGATTAGAGCAAGGAAGACAGGAAGCAGTTTAGAGGGCTGCTTTGCTTGCTTCAGGCCCCAGTGTTAATTCTGCTCCTGCGTGGCAGCGAGCAGCAGCGGCTCCTTTGACACCAATGAAAGGGAATGGTAGTGGCCTTGGCAACGCTTGTCTGAAACGGCTCTTTGCTGCCAGGCCTTTATCTAGTTGGGAGACAGTGACATGGGAGTGTTAACTCGCAGGAGCCGAGCAGGCTGCTCACATCAAAGGAGGGCTGCAGTCACTGGTGTGGGAGGAAGGTAGCTAAGGCGTAAGCAATTCCAAGGGAATACAGGGCATTGTGAAGTTYCGGGATAAGATCTGCTTTTACCATTTTAATGTTTAAAATCAGTGAAATGCAGAATTGGGGTTTAAACCAGAAGTTGAAACGGGTGAACACCTTGTTCAGATTGTATTATTTCTATACTTTTGAGGGAAAAGTTGAAAAGAATTGAAAATATGAATGAAATGTTTTTTCTTAAAGGAAAAAAATCTTTATGCTTTCATATGTACAGAATATGAGCTAAGAAAMTGCCCAGTTTTACTCAAATTTCCCTTTGCTTTTCCAAAAGCAAGTTGCTTATTCCATGCTCTTGAAGAACCRGTCAGCAACGGTAGCTGTTTATGCTACATTTAATGTAGGATAAATTACTTCATATGAAAAAGGCAGCTAAGGGCTTGCATTCAGGTTGCCACTTGAGAGCTGAACTGCAGAAACTTGATGACGGCTCACGGAAAGCCCCTCACAAACACAAAACAATGTAAGTGACCTGAAGAGTGTTTAATGCAAAATGGAATTGCCATGAGCCAGGAGCATGCACAGGGACAGTCATCAAGTTGACCTGGCTCCTTCTAACTTCATCATTAGCCCTAATATTAGCAGTTAGAGGAGATAAAGTATATGCTGGAAGGCAAATTAATATATCAATGAAAGAGTGTAACAAAACGACAAAAAGAGAAATGAGATTCATTTCATGGTCAGAACATGAGAACAAAACATATGAAAGCAGTAACTGTTACAACTGGCCTGGAAATAGTGTTGAAACAAAACGTACAAAAGCAGTAACTATTGCAATTGGTCTGCATTATGTAATATCTTTCCCAATAGCACAAACGTGTTCTACCTGTTGAAATGAGAAAACGTGCTAAAATATAATGGTACTTTTTTCATTTTTAGAAGTGTTTATTGGAAGTATCACCGAGCTGTAGGTAAGAACATGATGAACTTGCTAAAGGGATTATTGACTGAGAAATGTGTAATAATGCATCAACATTGGCCCATCCGCAGCTCTGGAGGTCTGGTCAAGAAAACTGATTTGCTTTGGATGAAGAGCTTGTACCAGGGAAAYTGAGGATGCTATTAACTATAAAACTTAAGCTTCTTAAACATTTATGTTAAAGATGTTTATTTATGCCAGGAGATCAATCGTTAGCCAAAGATTAAGGAGAACCAGTAAGGAGGAATGTGTAAGTACTTTCCTCAGATTCTTGAGAAATATCTTAGGATTTTAGCCACGTTTACTTTTCACCATTGATTATCAGTTGTTTTTTATCAGTTGTTTTTCTAGCTGAATTAGTGCTTACCTTGGTCTACAGCTTTTTGTAGACAAAAAGATTGAAATCTATCATTTAAACAAGTCTCTTTTTCTCCTTAGCACAACTTGTGACCATGTTCCTGTCCTCTTTATGCAGACAGGAGTATTYGCCTGAATTTGCATGAAGATCCCMAAATACTGCAAAAATAATCTGATCCTGGACTGAAAAAGGAAGCAGTAATTCTTGACTATTAGARAATTAAAGAGGTATGTGGGGAATTATTTGCAAACATTTGGAAGGGCTTGGTTAAAAATACTCATTTTGGAAACCACTGAAAAGCAATCAGCATTTCACTATCACATTTACAGATAGTTCTTTTATGATATTGTCACAAATTCATAACCACTAAAAGGCATGCTAATTATGGTAGCACTATAAAACAACAGCTATTTTCAGATAAAGTATTTCGAACACCTTTCTCACAGAACGTTAGCAGCAACAAATTTATCCCAAAAATAATCATTTACTCATTGCTAGTCAGCTTAGTTTTTTGATGCATATAGAGAATGACATATAGATGCATATAGAGATGCGTATGAGAACGACAAACTGTGGGCAACCATTTGTTGAACTTCTACCCAAGTGAGTACTTTAAATATAATTACAAAAATCCCACAGGATGCAGATTGCTGAGGCATTAGTCTTGGCTGGCACAGCTTTCTTACTCATATCATGATGCAAGTTGATCAGTCAACCTCTCATCAGGCAGCACACTGTATGCAGTGTCTGTTTGCCCATTCATTGGTTCTGTGAGATTAATTTCAAACAGGAAAGATGTAATTCTATGTTTCCCAGGTGAGGGTTTAGGCCAGGATATTAGGGCTTTTCTGCTGTATGGGGTAAATATCAATGGAAAACTCCTAGGCTTCTTCATCTCACTCTGTGACTAATATTTGCAACTGCATAGTGTTAGGGAAAAAAAGTTAGAAGAAAAGAATTATTTTTTTAGTTGTCTTTAAGATAACGCAACAAGTGGACTCATCATCCCGATCTCTGTAGATTATTGCCATGTGCTTTGCATCTAAAGTTATGAAGGGCAATGCTGGACAAACTGACTGGAAGAGCAGTTTTCAGCCCAAGGATCAGGGAAGATTAGAGGGTCTGTTATTTATTTCTAGGTGGTCTGTGAAAGACAAAGACAAGGACAAGAAAGCCTATTGTTTCCTGCCTTATTTGTTAAGGGGGGCACTCGGGAGTGACTGGGAGAAACAAATAGGAACTGTCCACCTGCACTACCAGAGCTCCGGTTTGAAAGGCTGCGACTTTGGAAGGAGAAAAAAGCCTGGAAAAGTAAAACAGACTTGTATTCCCTGAAGGGAGCTTAGCGTGATTGTAACCACCTGGCACGCTCAGACCTTGATCAGGGATGAGTTCCTGGCTCCAGTTGCTGGTGTCTGTCGCAGATGCAGCCCAGCTCCTCCTACAGCAGCTGCCGGCTGTTGCAAAGGGAAGTCTGGTGTGTTAAAGAAAAATAATACTGGCTACAGTTTACCTCAGCATAGCAGGCTGCAGACCGCAGTGGTTCTGTGTATTCTCTGTGATCGTTCCTGCAGAAGGGGTAGGAATCCCTAAAACCAGGAGAACTGCAACTGCCCTTCCACACCAATGAATGGCATCCCTCAAAACACTGGATGAACACAGCTGTTCTGTGTAGCTTTATCAAAACACATTTAGAGCAGAGTTCTATCCATAGGGTATACAAACAAAAATCCTGTCTATTTATCTTTTTGATATTTATATAAGAAGATGAAAACTTGTTTGCTGACAGTTTTGTGGATAGGGTCATTAATTGTCTCCTAGAAAATACTTCTGTAATGGCAACATGAAACCTTCCTGTTATCCACTATATAAAAAAGAGTTGTGTGACTTACAGGATTACCACGAGCCTGTGAGGCTCTGAATAGAGGAAGCATTGGTAACGTTTACAGCTAACTCCCACCCAAGGGTAGCACTGTCCAGGGAATGTAGGATCAGTTGCCTTGCTAAATGCTTACCATGTAAGACTTGATAAATCTGGACTATATTGGCATGCTAGGAAAGGATGCCCTATTTTATCTATGATTTCCAAAGATCTGTTAGCCCATGTGCGTCAGGAGGATGATACTGTGCAAGATGATTCTTGTCCAGACAGTTTGCTTTGTCTTCCTGTGATGGAGCTAATGTGGGCCAAATAGACCATTCTCTTATTATAGCTGCCCTGTGGGTTTCTGTTTTGCTACCAGTTTCTGGAAGTTAAATATGAGCAGTGGCTTTTTTTTCCCCCTCGTATTTATTTGTGGGTATGAAGTCTAATGCTGCTAATAGTAGAGATACCAGAGATAGAAACAAACTATCTCCTGCTTCCAGTAAAGCAGATGTCACGTTTGCTAGTGACTTCAGTGAAGCAGGAGCAGATGTGGAGCATTCCCTTCCAAATCCCCAGAGATGGAATATGGAAGAAGTAAATCATCCCTATATGAAAAGAACAGGATAACTAAGATTTTAGTTCTATTTTTTTGGGGGGAATTTTTGGAGCATTGTAACTCAAGCTTTTTTTCTGTATAGTCACTGGTCTTTGAGAAACTCTGCAATCTTCTACCTAGTGAAACCTTCTGCTTGAGCTTTCAACTCTTTTTCTCAGATTTTTGGCAAAGATGCTTCCAGGTGCCTCCACTTCAGAACATATATTTAGACTCTGGCTATGCAGAAGGCAGTTTAATCTATTTGAGCAGAAATAGCTGCAAAAATCATCTTACCATTAGTGTAGTGTGTCTTACCATTAGTGTGCGCGCAGCTCTCTTGCGTCAGGCAACTTCAGTTCTGTGGAACATCTGCTTAGACGGGAAGACACCAGGTGCCTCCTCGACTTGAGCTGCTCCTTTTTAGTTTTCCTCTCCCTGTGCTGCTTTGTTTCTTATTTTTCACAGACCTCAAGCACAAGATGATGGTGACTGTGACCACATCCCCCTGACACTCATAGGCAGGAGAGTTATAGTGATGCCCTCTCTTCTTAAGCTGTCGGTGCCAAACCTGTTAGAGCTATAAGCAGCTTTTGTGAAGGAATGTAAATGGTGGGGGAATTTCAGGGTATTATTTAGTCAAGGGACCAAGGTTGGACATGTGCAAAGGAGGGGAGAAGGCTACTGCTCCTGTTCAACATAGTGCAGGGGGAGAGGGAAGGAGGTTCTGGTTGTTCTCCAAGTAGCACATTTTTGAAATGTAGAAACTAAATTCTTCTTTCTCTCTATCCAAGTGAAAAACAGTCTTGGGTCTTCCCTTAGTTTATGACTCAATGTCAGTATCATCAAAGGAACCAAGGAGAGAACAACCATGGGTGCCTTAAAATACAAATRGAAACATTTAAGYGATGGCTTGATTTTCCTTCCCCTCTTCTGTCTTTTCTTTATGAGTTTTAGGGAGACATCAAAGTCTTTCTTCTTGCCTGGAAGATCTCTCATATTCATGTGATTCCAAAGGTGGGGTTTTGAGAGAACATCCTGCATTGGAAAACTCCTACTAAGGCTGTTCAGGCATTGTGGCACTTCCAGATTCAACCTTTAGCTTTTAGAGTAGAGAGGAAGAACTAGCATGTGCTCCTGYCACTTGTAATAGTGACCTGTTAAAAAAATCTTTTAAAAAATCAAGATGTTTAGCTGATTTATCTGATAGAGTTACTTTGCTTCAGTTAAGTGGAATGTGGAACAGAAATTTAGCTTGACGTTTGTGTTTGTTCCTTCTAGCATGCTGATGACCGTGATGTCTGTATACACAAAGCTATGACTCATTAAGCTGTCAAGGATGCTTACTTAAGACTCTGTAAATATTTTCTATTAAATTTGGCAGGGACACTTCAAGATGTCAGGGCACTTAATGACATATAGAAATTGTCAGATTATCCATTTGTGAAATRTGTGAATCTTAATTCTAAACCTGCTTTGTAATTGAGCAGATATTTGTAATACTCCATTGTCTGTCATGGATCAAATATTTGTCTATGAGTGAAAGAAAGCTGCTAATCTACCAGTCCATCCACAGGGGTCCAGAGCACTATTTAGAATTTAGGTTAGAACCATGTTGGAACAGAAGTTCACGTTAGAAACCATCTTGATGGAAGCAAGTGATCTTTTTTTTTAGAATGGCCTAGACTTCACTTCTRTGTTTTTAAGTATATATATTATCACAATGCATGAAAGACCCACGTTATTTCTAAGATGGAATATTTAGGTCATGCCGCTTCTGTCCTGATAATGTCAATGATTCCAGTTCATATGGGCTTACATAAAGCATCCATCTATTTCAGTTCTCCTGGGCTTGTCCTTTTCACTACAAGATAATCTTTGGGTTTGCACTGGTAACAGTACAGATTGTGAAGGCAAGTGCACAGTTTGAAAAATTACATGAAATCCCCATTCTATCTATCAAATTGTTTTTGATTATAAAAACAAAGATTTGTACTGATTTGCCTCTAATAAAAAACAATGACTGGGTAGTACTTGCTGTAAGATTGGACAATATATTTTGAAATTACCCACTGGGSATTTTTGATGCTTTTGAGGTCTTCAGTGGGTTTCCCTGGATCTTTGTGTTAACTCTTTGCTTAGATTGGTAAAAGCCACCTGTTGGAAAGGGCTGAGTTGTTACAGGTTATAATTTCTTGCATCTGCCTCACCTGTATTTTCTGCAATTTGGTCCTGGTCCAGGACTTTGGAAACTCTTTGGTAAGTTTCAGTAATTATTAAGTAGAATAGAGTGTATAGTAATGAGCTATATTGAATATATGAAGAAAACTGCACAAGTATGGTAAGTTACCATACTTACTTTCTCAAAAGCACAAACACTACAAGGGTTGGGTAATTTTGAAAAAAGAAACAAATCTGAAGYGATAGTGAGTTTTGACAGTCAATGCAGGTGAGATAGCTCTCATAAATAATTCGTAGTGAATGAGTCACTYGGTTTTGTTACCAGGGAACAGAAACGAGCCTCTCAGGAAAGAGCAGCAAGGAGGAACAAATTGTCACTGGGCCAGCTGTTACCACTGCACAACTCCTTACCTGCTGTGGTCATCACCAGTGTGAAACCTTGCAGAGGTATGTTTTATATACATGTTTTTAATTTCCTGTTCTTTTTTTTTTTAAAGATTTCACGGGCATCCTGTGCTGGTGCTATGTTAAAACAAAGCCAAAAGGTTATTTGATTCCTAATGTCAAGTCTGTCAGTTGTGGATATTGATCTGGCTCCTGACCTCCTTTGTGTGATCCAGGCTGGTGTCCAGACAGCTGTGTATTCTCCATAGCTAAGAACTGGGATACACTGTCCTCCCACCCATCACAGTGTATAATTAATTTCCATTTAAAAAGCATTGTAGTAAATAGCAAAAGGCTTCCAGAATTCTCATAATCATTTCCAAAGCAGGCCTTGGATTTGCTTACTTAACCCCTTGATGATCGATCATAACAAAATTTACTTCCTCTGTCCCAAAAATATTCTTGTGCTGTGAGATAGAACACAGAGAATTTTTGCTAAGCTTTTGGGAAGTGTATTTGTGCAAAGCTTATGAATCATTCCTACAAAGGTTCACTACTGTATTTGTTGGTGAAGCATACTAAACTGCCACACATTCACAGCCTAGGCTGACTTTGTGGTGGCAAGTCCAGGTAGCAGCATGCAGCAGAATGAGGTATGCAACATGGCAAACAGATCGAAAGGACATTTTATTTGAATTTTGAAATTCACTGAAACAATCTTTCAAACTTCTGAGGTCCCAGCAAGATATATCACAAACACCACATAATTCCCTGGAATTCAAGCCTGCAATCAAAGGACTGGCTTCAGTGAGATAAGAGACAAAGGAATTGCCTCTTATTCCCTCCCCTCTTCCCTTCYGAGGGGAGAAGCCTTTCTGAGCCAAACTGACAAAGTGGAGTAAAACTGGAGCCCTCCCGAGCTGACATTGTAGGAATAGGTACTTAGGAGATACTTGTTTGCATCTGGGAGGCAGGAGGAGCTGCTCTTATCTGTCTTCTGTTTCTCATAACAGAATGGCAAAGAGATTCAACAGAAGTTGCAACTTGGAGAGATGTGAAGCGAGAGCAGCTTCTGGGTGCTGTTCTTAAATTTGTTTCCACTCTCTGTTGCTTTGAAGGACAGAACACACAGTGAGCTCTTCTCTGTTATTAATACCCCTGAACACCTTTTTAAGAGAGAATAAAGGGAGAATATAGCCAGTCAGAAAGGAATGCTAAAACAAATTAGATAATGGGGGAATAGATGTCTGACTTACCCTGAATATGTAATCCTATCAAATTAAATGCAAAGATAGAAGTCACCTTAGGCTCTTCTCAAATGTTGTCCCAGTAGAATGCATTATGTGAAGTGGGAAGAAAAAAAGCAAACGGGCTGTTTAAAACAAGCAAGGATGAAGTCAGAACGTTATTAGATTTTGGTACATAATAAATTTTGTGTAATTTGTTGTTTTCAGGGGGTTAGGTGTAGTGCCTTAAAGTGGTGTTCCTCAGGTGACATCACTGAACAGAGCGCTGCTGGCAGCAAATTASAGCCTCTGACTTCCAGTGTTACAGCTAAAGCTGGAGCAGAAACAAGACTATAGCCCAAAAGACCAAATGCTTTGGAATTGTTTAAAATTTGAGCCACAGCTTTGAGTCAAAAGAAGCAGCAGTGATTCACCAGGCTCATCTTCTGTTACGTTCGTATTGAGCAGGGGGGCCCGAGTGTTGTCTGAATTATTCAGTGCAAAAAATTATCCATTATGAATATTTTAAGAATTTAGTAATGATGTATTTATCATAAACATCTTTTTTTTTTAACTCAGCTCTGCTGTTTTAAAGAACACAATAAATATAAGCTTAAAGCCAGATTTTTTTAATGGAAAGAAGCAAAAATGGGTGTTGCTATGTTTTAACCTTCCATGTAACTGGAACATATATACTCCTGATTGGATGAATGTTAAAAACAACAGCCATTGTCATTTTAGAATTCTTCTATTTAAATGAAATGGATTATACCTTAAAGCTTTTGACATCTGCAGCAGGGAAACGATTCTATTTTTGCTTATCACAGCATGTAGTTTTAAACAATCAAAAGGTTCAAGTCAGAGAAGATAAAGATATACTAATGGGCACATTGCTGAAATCCCTCTTTCAAAAATAAAGTTTTGTACGCATTTAAATTGGAAATCATAAAAACAACATCCTATTCACAGATGGACAAACTTGGCAAAAACGGTTGAGGRGGAAAAATAACAACAATTTGTGCAATGAAGAGAATAAATCACATCTAAACTGCCAAGTAATAGACTCCAGCCCAGCAAAGCACTGAGGCATATGCCTCACTGTAAACATGCGAGCTGTTCGTCTCTCTTTAAAGAGATGATTGAGAAGTAAAATGCTTTTAATGGGGTTGAGACCTAAAGGAAACATCACTGACTAGAATATTTATCAACTAATAAAATAATTTAAAAATGTTCATTATGGCCTGCAAATACCTGCCTTTGTGCTATCCTATTTGTTTCCTCCCTTGTATGAACTTTGTAAATGAGTCATGYGGTCAGCAGGGAGATTGACTGCAGGTGGGTTTCCTAACCCACCTGGGCTCTTTACTTCAGCTATCTGAGCTATTCCTCGAACCTCCCTTTGCAGTTAAGGTGGAGTGGGGATGTTTCCAGAAGCTGTTTYGTCTCCTGACTGATCCTTTGGAGCTTCAGATTTCACTTGACCACAGAAGGAGCTTAAGTGACATCAGTTTAGATTAGATTAGACATGATTAGCTGGCTGCACTTAGGTGAAATGARAGTATCGTAGGCTCTGTTGTTATAGTAAGTTTTTAAATTCACAACTTAAACCTAATGAATCTTATTCTAGGAATTCTAAGAAATCAATTTCTCCTCCTTCTAAGTCTGTTTGTGCAGGATATGTCACTAAGGGTTTCTAAAAGGTTAAGCAGCCCAGCCTTACACAAGGTACATGGGCGTATAAGGCATCTGCTACTTGCTAGCCTATATGTTTATTACTGTGTGCAGTCCTGCTGACTTGTGAAATGACTTATTCCTGTAAAACAGTAAGAACGGAGGTTAGAATGGTGATGGAKAGGCCTGAGAGTGAAGCCTTTTCTGGTCACACAGCAGGGCTGAAATGGCTTGGGTGAGGTTAGCTCCGAAAAGGAGCACGTCACGCGTGTGGTTTCCACTGGGCTCGTGCTGGGCCCAGAACCACRTGCTGCCTCACCTGGAGGCCTGCAAGTGCCTTGTGCTTTCAGTGGTGATCCAATCAAGCACAGAAGTAACTGGAAAATGACTCATGCTGAGACATGGATGCTTTTTGTTAATCCCAGCTTTTCAAATGTACACAGTTTGTCATCATTTTTCATTGTGGTGAATGTGGTTTTTGGGCGGTCTTTGTTTCATAATCATCTGGCTTTGTTTGCCATGGCCTCTCTTTTTAGCTCATGTGCTGCATTCTCATCCTCCTTTCATTTGAAAGGAAGTAATCAGACAAAAATCTCTTCAAAACCAGTTTCTCTGAAGAAAGACCCAGGCAGGAGGCACAAATATGTGAGGTAGGACGTGGAGGAATGCATTCAGCCCTTGAAATGTCTGCTGCTTTATACYTGACATTGCAAATGCTTAACCACATGTGCATCTTTCACTGCTAAAACCACAGCTAAGAAGGAGATGGGGAATAAGAGAAAAAAATGGCATGATAATTGTGTTATAGTTAGATTGTGTAAATAGTTAGATACTGCAGAAATATAGATGATACTGGATAAAGAGGAGTAATGGAAATACCTAGTGTGGTTCAGGTTGTGGGTAAAATAATCACACTTGGGACAAATACACCATTGCMTAGCTACAGAAAAATACACTGGAAAATGGATGCAGAATGCAAAGCCAAAGAAGAAGTGAGTAAAACTGCAGCTCATGATGCTGCAATTGTATTTGCAATGCACTGTGGCATCACAGGTATGTACATAAGCTTGCATATGTCTAATATCACTGCATCATTATTACGTTTAGTGAAAGAACGTACCTAAGTATTTTATCAAATCTGAATGATATGTCTGCAAACATAAYGCAAGTGTAGCATGGCTTTAAGCGTGTTTCTGAGTTGGGGCTTTTGTCACGTAGAAAAMGTTATTGTCGTGGTAGGAAACTGCAGCAGAAGTGCTCTGGGGAAGCCTCACGAGGACATGCTGACAGGTTCTCTGCTCAGGTTATAAGGGCTCTGTCAAAAGAACTTTTTTATTTCAAGTTCTGAGTGAAAGAAATAGTCCTGAAGCAGAAAAAGGGAAAAAATAGGAAATATAAGAGGAAAAATCTGGGCTACCTCTTCCAAGTAATCTCCTTTAGCATTTTTGTGTTGCTTTAGATCCACGATAGCGGATGCTTCCTGTTGCACACAAAGCTGCAGAGGTAATGGGGTTCATTTAGCAAGATGAAGGCTCCTGGGACACGAGGACATTGTGCTACCACCCTTCAGTTAAAGCACGGGTAAGAGGTGCAAGTTTCTATCTTAAATAAGGGCAGGTGCATCCTCAAGAGCTAACATCTCTGTGCAGCGCGGCTTCAGTTGATATTTTCCTGGGTGCTTTGTGTGCACAGAGCAGATGTGAACTCCACCGAAGGGGCGACAAGGGGAATGTGCAGGAGCCAGGAAGGAAGGAAGCTGCTCCCCTCTCCCTCTCCCTCTCCCCTGGGATGGAGCAGCCTCTCAGGGGWGCGGTGCTGGCTCCGCGGTGCCGCAGGGGCCCCGTGGGGCCGGGCCCTGTGTCCAACTGCGGCTTGTGGAGCTGAGGGCAGGGAGGCGGCCGGTAACCCGGGCCCGCCTGGGCTCCCGTGCTGCCACGGCTGCTTCTCTCCTGCGCCTTGATGCAAGTTTTGTGGGTTTGGTGTCATTTAAACGCCGCTCCGTGGCCCTCGGCGGCGGGGACACACGAAGCACCGCACTGCGTCACTGCCCGCCCGGAGGAGCCTTCCCGGGGGCCGCGCTCCATCCGGAGCAAATCCAAAGCGGGAGGTGACCGGGCTGTGTGTGGGGGTGCGGGGGGCTCCTGCTGGCGCTGCCCCTCACCCGCCTCTCGGCTCGGGGCGGCGCAGGCCGCGCTGCTGCTGCCCCCTCCCGGGGCGGCGCGCGGCCCCTTTAAGGCGCCGCGTCGCGGCGGCCGCGGCGCGCGGCCCCTTTAAAAGGCGGCGCCGGGGCGCGGCGGGCGCGCGGCCGCGGCCATTGTGTGCCCGGCGCGTGCCCCCCTCGCCGCCGGCCCGGCGCTCGCCGCCGCAGCCGCCGTTAAAAGAGCCCGCAAGATGGCCGAGCTGGGCGGCAAGGGCGTCACGGCCGGCAAGATCGCCAGCAACGTGCAGAAGAAGCTCACGCGCGCGCAGGAGAAGGTGGGAGCGGCGGCGCGGGGATGCGCGGGGGCTGCGTGCGCGCCGGGAGCCGGGGCTGCCTGCGGGGAGCGGCCGCGTGCGGGGAGCGGCTCCC